AAACAGAGGCTCTTTTCAGTGCTGTCACACTGGTGAGATGGAGAGCCAAACTGTGGCCAAGGTGGATTTAACCACATGCACACACAACACACACACACGCAGAGAGTTTTGACCAGGCTGCCTGGATAAGCCCAGCAGGCCATCAAAGGCCTGGTATCTGCCCTGAGAGTCTGCCAGCAGAGCAGCATGGGAGAAGCTTTGAAAAATGTGTGCTGTGAGGTTGCACGTTTGCAATGGTTTCACTGCAAGCTGCTTGGGTACAGGCAGACTTTTTAAAATCATTATCCAGTGACAAAAATGACAACTTCTCTGAGAGAGGAAAAAAAAAAGAATTAAAACTATATTTCAAAATTGTGTAATTGTGAAGTGGAGGGGGGAAAAAATCATGCATGCACATACATTTATCCATAATACCTGGAGAGGCTGAACAGGTCTCAGGGTCAGGAGAGAGAATTTGTTGACACTACAGCTTTGTGCTGGGCAAGTTGGAGCTTTATGGAAAAGTGTTAAGAAGAAGACCAGTGTTTAAAGAAAACCACAGGAAGCCTGGCTTTCAATTTGGAAAACGTCCTGGGAGGGACGCAGCAAACTGGTCGAACAGCACGCTCTGCTCAGATGAAATCAAACTGTTTAATCTGAACACAGAACATCATGATAGTGGCGGCAACATTTTGTTTGGGGACACTTTTCTGAAGCCGATTAGAAGTTGATTAGAAGACGGACGGAGCATAACAGAGCAAAGCAGGATGAAAACAGGGGGAAATGTCCACCTTCCCACAGGACGACAACAACAGAGTTACAGCAGAAGAGTCTATCAAAAGCATATTTATTTGTATGATCACCCTGATCAAAATCCAAATTTTAAAACTGATCTTCACATAATGCTCTCCATCCAACTAACAGGCCTTAGATGTGCAAGGCTGGCAGAGACATAATCCAAAAGAGGAAGGTTTTTCTGCTAAATATTGACTTAGAGAGAATGAATACAATCAAAATTGAATCAAAACATTTCAGATTTTTGTTTGCAAATAAATATAAACCATATATTATTTTGTTCCCATCTTAAAAATGTTCAACTGAATACTTCTGCAAGTCAATGTAAATTGAAGACGCTAAACTACCCAAACATATCTAGCTAAACAAAGTTCATCTGAAAGATATATTGCACAACCATAAATGATACTTTTTTTTTCTGATTGCTCCCCTGAAATCAATAAATCAAGTGTCCTAATTTTTCTGTCACAAGCAGTGTGCTTTCTCCATAGGTTTTATAACTCCTCCCCCTCACATCCCCTGCAACTCCATCAGACTCGCAGCAATATCGGCGCACTAACTGCTAAAACAAACCTTGAAACCATAACCAGAGGCGCTGTAAAAGCTAACCAACCCTGATAAATGCAGAGACATAAAATCCACTCTCCCTGCAGGAGGACTCAGTGAATTGAAAGACGCTCACTCTTAGCACGCTGAACCACAAAGCCAACAGAGTGGAAGCATCTTCCTTTTCTGATAAACAGACCTAGTGGACCAAAGCAGCAGAGTGTTCCCCCACAGGCTACACAGAGAAAATCTCAATGTCGCATCGCATTCAGACAAGGAGAACAGGAACATTTGTAAGGACAAAAAAGCCCTTCATGCCTTACATGTGTCCCTTCAGCTTTGAATGCGAAAACAATCTTCAGGTAGAGTCTGTAAAAAGAGTTTATACCAAATTTGGGGGCTTAACATGAAATAATTTAGAGTACCACCATCTACATACGTTTCTTTTCACTGTTCAGACTGCAAAACTCAAAAATTCAGTCATTGCCACTTGGGAAGCAATATAATACTTCAAAATAAATGGAGCAAAATGTAACTAACGCTGGAGCCCTTCAATAGCTTCTCAAATAGAGCAGCAGAAAAGATCACAATGGTTGCAATTCCACTGAATACCAACATATTTGGACTGCTGGATGGCCTTTCACTGTCTTTTACATCCAAACCTAATAGAGTTTAAGAGACATGAGGTCATTGTAATGATGGAAAAGATGGGGAGTATTGTGGCAAATATTTTTTTACTGCAATTATATGGTAATATACTGTGTGTTGATATCTTGCAGCCCTCAGCTTGTTTCGTTTCTTTTGTTAAGTGTTTTAATTACTTTGCAGACAAGCAAGCCTCTTGGTCAGATCAGCTGTTCAAAAGAGTAGAGGAGCTTGAGTAAATGCAAAATTTTAACTTAACATGCATTTTTGTCTGCTTAAGTACCCTTTACAATTCCAGTTATATTTTGAGGATTTATAAAAATTCTCAAAATGCTGATGCCATTCAGCGTTGAAGTGCAAAAGTAGATTTTTTCTGAAAATGAGCACACATTTCTTTCCTTACCTTCACGGCTTCATGTCAACCTTGTAACCTGATTCACTCTAGTATTCATATTGTCAATTTTCCTAAAGTTTTGTTTTAATGCTCCAACCAGAAATTGTAATATGTTTCTGAAAAGTTGCGTTCGTTATTCTGCTTTTTCACTAATTTCCTCCAATATGTGAAGCTTTTTCGGAATAGTTGGATTTACACGAGACTCTAATATTTAGTTGACAACTAAAGTTGCTGGTACTGAATTTTATTTAGAGGTATCGGCGTAAAGGGACCAAATAAGTATTTTTCCAGTTAAGATAAAGTTCTAAAATATTCTGTGGCTCTAATGTGACACTGTGTGAGAAATTTCATCAGGTAAAGGTGTGCATGTTGTCCACAGCCTGGATTATCTGGTGATATGAAACTGGGTTTATTTCCGATCTGGGATATTCTTGCCTGGAAACACATATTTTCTCCTTTATTTCCCATGTGCCTTGTTTATTTGAGCAGCTATGATGTTGGTTTCTATTAGCATAGATGGAGACAGTGACTGAACTGGTTATGTGAGTACAATAATTGAAATAAAGTTTTTTTTTTTTTTTTTTGCACACCATAAAAATGTAGGTTTCATCAGAAAAGGAAAGATAATCCCTCCTACCCATATGTTTTTTTTTATGTCTGTACATCTGCCTTCCTATAGATGTCTCGCATGTCTATTTCTATTAACAACTTTATTTTTCAAGTCAATTTTATTGTCCACCTGCTCTTCTTTTTTTTTTTTGGCCTGAGGTTAAAAAAATAAATCACTTTCTGTGCTGCTTTCACTTTTCCCGAGGGAATTATAATGCCTTCCAGACATGCCTGCATGAATACAACCCCAAAGAAGTTTACAGGAGATGGCTGAGTTGGATTTCAGGATTGTGTCATCACCTCCATTTCGCAACGGGTGTGTGTGCGTGTTTGTGTGTGACAGAATGCAGGTTGATAGGTTTCTGTGTTTCTAAATCAAGCACATCAAACTGGAGACAAAGACTTCAGAAGAAGACCTGCTGACTGATGAAAGTCATTTACTTTAATCCATGACACAAAGCTTCATACAGGTGGACTCAAAACCTACTGAGGCTTTATGTTTTTATATAAACTTGCAAAATGAGTTGAGTTAATCTATGCAGGCATACCAAAAATCATGTTGTCCCATCTTTGAAGACTAGTGTGTCCCTTTGGAGGCTCAGAAGCTTTGAATGGTGTGGAGTTCAGTGATCAGACATATAAGCTTTTTTTTTTCTTTTTTTTTTTTTTTTTTACATATTTAGGGATCTGACTGCGAATGACATTTCAAAGCTGTACAAGTTGTCAATTATCAGCCGGAATTGCGTGATGAAGTCCTGACAGTCCTCAGAATAAAGCAGCACAATATTAGTAAAATATGATACTGAAATATTATTCTTCAATGTTGTGATGACAATACTGATTAAGTCACATTTTTCTCTTTTTCATCCTCATGATTTCCTCAATATATCAGTAAGAGCTACATAAAAATTGGGCATTTAAGGAAGTGATGCATCATCTAGCTGGCCAAATGTTTGATGGACTATCATGATTTGAATGCATTAGGCCTGAATTATAGTAACCTTCTGAATATGTAATCCAAACTGTCCTTTGTGACCGTCAGTTTGCAGACACTAAATAATGCAAAGAAGATTGCTGTCCCATATATTGTGCAGCATCAACACAGGTCAATATTAGTTCATCGCACTGCAGAGCATTAGTTTTACACCCAACAATCCAGTGCAATATTGTGCAGATGTGCACAAGGTTATCTCCCCATTAGTGTCCTTTCGAGTTGCTTTCCACTGACATCCATGTATGAAAATGTGCATCCTGTCCAAACCACACAGTTCTGGTGAGGCTCACGTCTCTAAAGCAGGAAATTCTCCACCTTGAATGCATTACTAGCGTTTGGCATAAACTTTCAAACCATAAATCAATTTTATAGCCTCTGATCACTTTGCTCTAGTAAGCCTTTGCCTCATGGGCCCACAAATGACATAGGATGTTTTAAGTATCTCCTGTTTATTGTTCATTATCTGTTTTGTGCAAACAGTCAGCAATTAATTACTCAGCAGGTTCAGATTTATACAGTAACATTGTTTAAGGTACATCTTCCTGAGAAATTCTGATGTCAAATCACTGCTATAAAAACGTTTCCAATTCGAAACACAACCGATTTTATTCACAAAGGTTTTAATATGTCATTCTTAAATGTCCTACAATATTTAGGCAACAACACCGACACAAATTTGCAGAGCAGATGGACCACTCATACAATCTTCTTTTCTAAACTTCAAAGTAATTTGATAGAAAAAGTCAATAAAAAAATGTAAACTACAACAAACAAATCACCTGAAATCCAGAAGTGTAAAACATAGATTTTCTCATAAACGCATAAATCCACAGCCTTACATTCACAATGCGCAACCTGCAGTGGGTTTTATCTGGGTGTGCCCTACGCTCACATTCAAAGTGGCAAATCTCAACATTTGTTTAAAAATTATGCTGCAACTGTTTCTCTGCTGCATGCACTTTTGATAAATGAGGCCCAGCGGGTGCAGTATATCTGAGAACAAATGTGTCTTACACGAAGCGTCGCGTGCTTCCCTACCTTGTAGGTTCGACAGGACGGATTGAAGGCGTTTGTTCCACAAACAAACAGGGTGTCACCGTTTTGCTGCAGGAGGACTTTGATGAAATTGTGACACTCATCCTTCAGGGAGCAGAGAGCAGGATAAAAGAACAAAACAGAGAGAAAGTGAGCGGTGTCATTTCTGTCTTTATACTTTCACACTAATAGCAACATTTGACTCACAGATCAATAAGTTTGTTCTTCCTTTTTTTTTGGCTTTCTGGTAAAGTACATGTCATCCATGTGTAGCAAACACTAACTTTTCATCAGGGGACGCAATGTTTTCAGCTGACTTTAATGGCCTTGTTTTTAATGAAACAATAAATCCTTTTGCATAAAATTACACGAATGAAAGATATGAAGATTCCCACTGATGAACTTTATAAATTATGTAAACCATAAAAAACAAGTGGATGCATCTTCAGGGTCTTATGTCAATGTCTGTGTGTGTGTGTGTGTGTGTGTGCGTGTGTGTGTGTGTGAAGAAAAACAAAATAGAGAGACTCGGTTATTAAATCTGATGTGAACTTGTGTAAAACGTGACATGTTCGTAAATTGTGATGAATGTGTTACCTTATGCTTTCCTTTCATTCGGCAAGTGTCCACGTCTGCCTGTCTGGACTTCCAGGTCATTTTCTGAGAAAAAAAAAAGAGCGAAATAATCGATGTAAACAGGACACAGAGAGAAGGAGAGTTTCTGAGAGTAAACAGACTAAACATTTAGGCGGGAAAAAAAGCCCGAGCAGACAGCTCAATATCCATCCATACAGGGATCAATAATCATCATCTGAGATTCCCCGTCATTGATTCCCCACATCAGGAAACTGCTCTGAGACCAACTTTATTCTGAGCACTGACGGATGATCTGTTTACTGCTCTGAAAACCTAATTTCTCTGCCAGAGAGGTGGAAGCACAACGCAGGCCGCAGATCAGAGCCGCTTCTATCCAAGGACAAATTCCACCCTATAGTCCACACCCTGATTAATCAATGCTAAGCCACATGCGCGATCATGCACCAACACTAACACACATGCACCATTCGTTGTGTGGCCTGAGGGTCAACGCTCAGCCACAGGTTCAGACCACCGTGCGCCCCGCCGCTGTTGTGAAGCATGTTTGGAGCTCAGCCGCTGATTAAAGACCCTCGGTCATCAATCAGTCTTCGCCTCTCCTCACCAGCCTTTCATCTGCAGCCCGCTCTCATTAAGACCCACTCACCGGGCTTATACATGTGGAGGAGACGGAGGGTGGTTGTGTACAAGAGAACGCCCTTGTTTTGAGCTTTGTTTGCATCTGTTATGTTAAGGCCAATGGATGCCAGTGAGGAGAGGGTAAAAAGAAGAAGAGAATGGACACTGCAGCAAAGGTGTGGTGAAAATATCAGATACTGTTTAAATATTTTAAATGGTTGAAGTTCCCTTTTGGTCAACATTAACAGTACTGTGCAGAAGTTTAAAACCGGCCTTTCTTGAATTCTTGATATTCTCTTAAGCAATATCTTTGCAGGCCTTCGAAAAAGCTGCCACAGTTTTGAGTGATTGGGTGTTTTTTTTTGTTTTTTCGCTGATTTTTATTCCAGGCCCGGTACCTGATTATGTTAGCATGTTCTGCACTTTAGATTGCAGTGCTGATAGTTTCTCGAGCACTTGAACAGCCCGAAAGACTGTTTTGAAAGCATCCGATAATGGACCAGAGATATGCATCATCTACTGTCTGCAAAGTTTTCAGCTAATTGCTCATCGGGAATCAACTTGGTGGAGCTAAAACAGATGTATGCCCACAAAAGTCTGTTATTTTCAGTACTGCTTTGGGACATGCTGCTGACAAGAAAGCAAACAACCAAATTGTAAAAAAATAAAAAATAAAAAAAAAAACAATGCGCAAAAAGATGTTAATTTGACATTTGAATCCTGAAGAAATACTGATAAAGACCATTTCAAAATATTAAAAGAAAGTCTGGCTCTTTGGAGCCAAAATATAAAGATGGCTGTTGACGTGTCTGCAGCGGCTGTGTTTTTGTTTTTGATCGTCTCCATAGAAACGTATCTGATAGCAAACAGTTTGACTACAAAATGATGCATTCACTCTGAAACATATATCTTGATGCTCTAGTGCGTATGTGAGTTTAACCTGTAAGAAGCCGAGACAATCATTAAACACCATGCAGAACTATTTGGTTGTCATGGAAACTGAACATAGACTGGCTGAGAGACATTGGTGTCCAAGGAATCACCCTAACCTTTCTTCATGCTGCCCTGTGGATAGCAAAAATCCATGATTTTTTTTTTTTTTTTGTGAAAAAGCATAAAAAAAGATGAATTCACTCAGCTTTGAAACGTGCCAAGATCCTTCCTATTAGCATCTGCTACAGCTCTATTAAACTTCCACCGTCCCACTGATGAGCAACGCATGACGCAGGCGGTTTGTTAACCGACTGATTGGATAATCGTCTTTGCGGGGTCACCATGGCAAGCTCACGTCTCTGAGCAGGTGTGTAAGAGTGCTGACGGGCACATAGACGGGAAGCATGCACACAACCACGTGTGCACTCAAGACACACAGAGCGAGGAGGGTTATTAGGGTTACGCTGTCAAATCACAGCACGACGAGTACAACCAATCCTCAGAGAGTCCCACGTCTCACTCACCTTACTGAAAAAGATCTCGTCACCGTTGGCAGTCTCCGTGTCCACTGTGTATATGTGATCCCTGCCAGAGGAGGAGGGAGGAAGAGAAATGGAGAGAGAGGGAGAAAAATGAGAAGATAAGAGGTCAGACAGCAACATACAGTCAGAAAAATCTACAAATAATAAGCCTGTGTTCTTTCTTCTTTCTCCATTTCCCCCCCGCAGGCAGCAAACAATGTCAAAAAAAATGGGACTTTGTATAAACTATGTTTAAACTTCAAAAAATTACAATAAACAAAAGGAGGCCAGAGCTATTTGCTCAGTCAGACAGAAACAGTCAACAAAGCTTTAGAGCGCTGCGGCGCAGGCCTGGGGACAAAAGCCTCTTTGTGCAGAGGAAAGGTCCTGATGGGGGGGCGATGGAGGAGGGAAGGTTGAGACGGGAGGTGCCAAGTCACTCAGAGCTGTTCAGGTCAATTAAGTCTGCTGTTTGAGCCACAGGAAATCTATACTAACACTCATTATTGCTCGGACGAGAAAACGTATGCGTGCTAGCCTGGAAACATAAAAGCCTCTCCTGTGTTACGCAGTCCAGCCATAAAAGCCCCAGCAGGGCATATGGAAGACATAAAACTCTGAAAGGTTAACCAGCTCTCAGACAGACCAACGTGTGGCTACGCCTCCCTTGGAGAAGGAGAGTCGAAGGTGTTGAGGTGGTGAGAACGGAACAAGAACAAAGAAAAAAAGGATTCATCTCATTTTCAGGAAAAAAAGGAGAAACAAGTGTGACGAATGATGTAACTGTTTTAATTTTGGTGGAGATTAGTTGCTGAGTGAGTTATTCTTTTTTATATCAAAGTGTGTAACAGTGGCATCGTCAGACTCGAGGTTTAATTACGTTCCAGCTCCCCAACCTGCGCTCAGACCGCCAGCCAGCCCCGCGCTCTCTCATTAACTAAATCTAATAAAGTCTTTGGAGTAACAGGCACCTTGAAATGAATCTACTTATATTGCCTTCTTGGGGGTGGGGGGCACGTCTGTGTCCTTGCGGACAAAACCCAGTCTTCACTATGACACACAAGGATCCATTTGAATAATTAATCTTTGGGAGAGGCTGGAATTAAGAATTAAGAATTAAGCTTTTTATAGGAGAAAACAGAGATGCCAGAGCTGCGGGTGCAGCCCCAATATCCATCACGTCCTGTGTCCTCAAACTGTGTCAGCGTCAGCTCTATCAGGGAGGTTACTAGTTAGGAAAGCAAAAATCAAATACTTCTAAAGTTTGAAGGTACAGTTAAGGTGCGGATTAAATTGAACCAAATATATTTGATATCTTAAATTCCCCCAGAGGGTTTTTTTTTTTTTTTTTTTTTTTTTTTTTTTTTTCCACAAAAACTTTTTTTTAAAAAAGGGTGGGAACCCGTTGGGCCCCATTCTAGGGGCCTTTT